GTTCCCAGGGGAAGATCATGAGTGTATTTGGACGTGATGTTCTTCAGATGGATGCAGATGGACGTGTCACCAAATGGAAATGGCACGTGTGTAGGTGAACATAAAGTCTGGAAGGAGAGGAAGGGGGCAAGGTTGGAGATATCAAAGGAGTGGAGGGTGTGGACTCCACCAGGGAACCGTGTGGGGAGCACATTGAGGAGGGAGCCTTTAGATTGTTCCCGGAGATTGACCTGTGGTGAGGGAGGGGAGGGCTGAGGGTAGTGGGGCAGGACCTGAGGGGCGGGTGTTGGCATCCCTGATGCTTCCTCCAGCAGAGAGCATAGCTGACCTAGGAGGGATTCTGGCCTGTCTGTAGAAAGGGAGGCCCGGGTGGGCTAAGGAGCTTCCCTTCAGTGGGACCTGCGACGTGTGCTGCTGTGGGGTCCACGGTCAGGGCCACTCCTGATGGAACCAGGGAAAGGACAGCCAGGCTGGTGCAGCCACTGCATCCTAGACCAGGGCACTGCTGCCTCTCCTCCACCCCTCAGGGCGAGAGGGATGATCCTCAGTCAAGGGCGCCCAGCAAGCTCCCTTCTGAGGACTGTTTAGTGGGTGGGCCTGGTTGCTGAGTGGTCTAACAGCTGACCTGCCTGCTCGGCCCCTCTCTCTGACTCCTTAACTTAAGAATGTATGAAAGTTTCATTAACTTAAACACGAATTAACCAATATTCCTCTAAAATTTGTACACGCAGGTAGGCAATTAGAAATTAGCCTATTCACTCAGTTAAATTTCTGCAAACACTTCATAATTGGCTTGGCATTGATCAGCCTCTAGGTATTTGCTTACAGTGCCAAGTTTCTTCTATGACATCCTCTGAAATCTTAAAAACTGCTAAAGATGAAGACCCCAGATTTCAAAACTACCACTTCATTCGCACTGAAAAGACGTACAGAACTGTTGATCCTGTGGACGGCCCTAGTGGATACATGGTGTGGACCCTTTACATCAGGTACCAGTACAAGCCCTGTGAGGGTGGAAGCATTCTCATCCCCATCAGCATTTTCTTTCCCTGAGGCTCAGGGAGGCTCAGTCCTTCTCCAGGGTCACCCAGCTGGTAAGAGGCAGTACTGATTTCTGAGGAACTGTGCTTAGACTGTCGAGCTGAGAACCAGGCATGGCAGGGGTTGTGGTCCAGCTCAGGGGAGGAATCCTACCATGTTCCCCATTTCTCATGGCTTCCTTCTTCCCCAGGGACCCACAGCAGTTGCAGAAATGCTTATGGACACCGTGCAGGTGAGTGGAGGGGTCCCACCCATCCCAGCTGTCACCCTGATGGTTTTGTCATCCTGACATATGTGTCACCACGTAGTGTCCCGGACATCTATCCCTTCTTCCTATCTTCCATCCAAAGACCATGTACCTTCATCAGTCCCAGGATCCTGTATTTAATCTCAGGTGACCTGGAGCAGTTCCATTTCTGACAACTGGCGGGGTAGGATGTGACAGGAGTCCTGACTACAGGATGCAGAGTGTTCAGACAGGGACAGGTGAGACTGAGCCAGGACATTCAGGGAACTGCAGGCCTCTGCTATATGTGGTGGGAATGGGGAGCTGGGATAGGGGTTCACAGGCATTGGGCCTGAATGATTTCCTGAGGTCCTGAGCCTCTAATGAGATGGGTGTGTGGAAGGGAAAGTCTGAAGCAGAGGTGGGAGGTGCTGTGACCAGATTTTAAAGGGCTCCCTCTGACTGCCAAGTGGAAGAAAGCCCTGGCCAGGGGTGGGGGACTGAAGGCAGGGGTGTCGGGGGGAGATTTCCTGCCACGATCCAGGTGAGTGTTGGGGTGGCTACACCAGCAGGGTAGCTGGTGCGATGGAGAAGTGGCTGGTTTCTGATTGTGTTCTAAACTGGAGCTGCCCCTGTTTTATGTAATGGAGTGAGGGACTGAAGGAGGTGGGCCAGCGGGAAGAATCAGAGATGACCCAGGTCATCGGCCTTGTTAGGAAGGACAGATTCTTCATCACTTAAAATGGAGGAAGTCCGCTGTTGGAGGGGTTTTCAGATGCAAGAGGAAGAGTCCGTTTCTGTCCATGTCACAAAGGT